AAAACATTTATACTGTGTTATTAAAATGACCTAAAAATTAAATATTTAATTATTCATTAATATAATCGCCTAAATATAAGCATCAAATGAAATACTCATTTCTTTATTAGGATTTGTCACTAAAATACGTAATATTTGTAATTAAGCACAAATATTGCATTTTATTTGCTTTTAAAAGTTATTAAAAACCTATTTTAGAAAGTTTTTATCACTTATTCAATCAAAAAGTTGTTTTTCTTTCCTTTTTTCAATAAATATTGAGTCAATTTTATATAAATTTTTGATTTTAAATATTTAAAAGTATTTAAAAGTTATGTTTTAGTATTTAAGAGAAATGTTTTATTTAAAATTTACAACAATTACAATTATACAGTGAAACAGTTTTACAATAAGTTATAACACTTTTAAAGCCTAAATTTCCTCTCAAATTAAACACTAACTGAAATTTCCATTTGTGTTTTCTATGCAAACAAAATCAGTTAATAAATTATATTTGTATAGAAAAAGTAGTAAAAATAATTCCCAAATAACTAATTAAAGACATGAATAATAATTGGTTTTAATAATCGCCGACTTTATAACAACGGCATAAGAGAAACAAAACTGGTTTTAATTGATTCCCACAATATATTTAAACCAGTTTTCAATACATAAGAGTGAGACTGAATGAGAGGATAGGAAAAGGCATTGAATTGAACGAGAGTTTTGTCATTCATTTGCAGATCCTGTGAGAGGAGAGTCAGCCCAACCACTGATTGTTGTGCAACACCTGTTGAACACCCCTTACCTTTCGCTTCAATGGTTTTGTCGTTAGATTTGTTTTCTTATGACTGAAAATGGTTTTCAAAAGTAAATAAAAGTTTATATTTACGCACAAAACTCTTTGCCAATTGTCTGTCGCGGCCATCCATTTGCCCAACACATGGATTTCGATAACCGAATTAGCTTTGGATCCGTTCGTAAACTTCGGGAACAGTTTGAACAAAACAAGTCTATTATTGTTAAAAATACTAATAATCATAACAATAATAATAGCCATAATAATAATAATAAGAATTGTGTTCAAAATACCCCTGGTCATAATCAAAGGTTAGTGATTTTTATTGAATTATTGTTAAATTATTGAATATTTATTTCCTACCATAATGTTTTAATTTTAATATTAAAATATGGTATAAAGTTATGAAATATTATTTGTATTAAACATATGTTTTTGATTCAATTAATAATTGTTTGCGAATATAATTTGATACTTAAATTAATTTGTATTCAGTTTTCTTCACCGAAAAGACGATAATTTTAAAGTATTGGTGAATAAAATGAAAGAAAACGAGCCGTTTGTGCCTAAAGTGAAAGTCGATGATAAAACTCAACTAAGAAAACCACCCAAACCTGAGCTCAAACCTAAAGTCAATTGTTTGGCCAAAAATACCCCAAAGACTGCGAATATTGTGAAAAATACCAACAATTTAGTGACAAAACCGCCAAAAATAGGCAACACATGGACTCCGGGCGATACGCGAGCGCTGAAGGCAGCCATCTCTGGCCACACATCGGCCGCACCCAACCCTCTGCCCAAACCTCCGCGTACTTTCGCGCACGACGTCTATCTTGAGCTAAAGTTTGGCAAAACTAAATCCATTGACAATATAAACAGTGCCGCAAATAATGAGAAATCAATGCCTATATATTCCATACCAAACAAAGACAATAAACTGAAGAATAGAAAACCTCGATCTCATAGCGATTCCCTAGTGATGGACATCAATAAGTGTGACACCAATGATAACATTTACGACGATATTGTGATTGACAAGAGATTGACTACATTTAAATCAAAAGTATTAAAACATTTGGCGTGCCTTAGAATCAGACCACGATGAAACACTCATCAGTGTATTAATTGTTTTGTATATATTAAATATTATTGTTATTACCGTATTATACCAGTTATCCAATAATATATCATTGTTATATAAATTGTAATTATATTTTGGTTAAACCTTTTAATATAATGTCTAATTTTTAAAGAATT